TATATCCAACTAAAATAGTTTGTGAGTGTGCATCCACTGTTTGAACATGCAGACTTAGTCTAGTGTTGTTTTCCAAATCCAAAAACTCAGGACATTGTGACTTCATTCATGCACATGAATAAATTCCAGTGTGTCCAATTCTTTAAGTCCAATTATTGAAAACAGTTTAATTGTTCCACAGTTTACCAACTCAGATGCACTTTCATGATTGTATACATGTAGTCTAGTGTTGCTTGAATCATTGAATCATTAAAGATAAAAAAGAAACCTCCTTACCCCATCTCCAGGAAGATCTGTCTGAACTGAGCGCGAACCTTCAGTAGAGGGTGGAGATGTCCGCTGGCTGGGGGAACACCGAGCGCATCGAAGTTGTACGGCTTAAACTTCTTCTCTTTCCACTGACCGCTGGGGTACAACAACAATCAGTACATCAGTGCAGGAAGTACAACAGCTACTAGAGATACAGTAACTACAATAGAACCTGGTCTTAGCAATCACTCGAGGGACTGGGGAAACATAGTTACTGTTGATAAGGAGGCATACAAGAACAATCAGTACAAGAAGGCACTAAGCTACAGTCAGCGACAACAGCCGGGATTCGAACTCCTAACCTCTTGATCTAGAGCAGGGTTGCTATATGCTAACTACTTACATGACTTATTTTTTGGTCTCTATCTTCCATATTTGTTTGTAAATTGACTACAGTGTTTTATTCTATCTTCTGATTTATTGGCAATTGGCAAATTTTAAAAGTACATTACACTGACTTTCAAGCAGCATGGTTGATTTTTGAGTCAACGATTATGAAGACAGTATAATACATCCGATCTATCAATAACTGAATATCAAAATATACATAAATTGATCTTTAAGAGGAAAAAACATCCCACCTACCTGTTGATCATCTCCGGAGTGAGGTCTGTGTCCAGTTTGGTAACAGAGGTACTAAACCCACTCCCCTTCCTCAGGACAAAACTGTTCATGGTTCTGGAGATGGAAAACAACACATTGGATCAGCCTGTGTTAAACAATCTCTCACTCTCAGGGGCTTGTTAAGCCTCCTGTCTAAGACCCTTAGTAAGAGCTTGTAGCCAGAGAACCATTACCAAACCCAGAACTACTAATATGAGCTCAGGATTCTTTCGTCACTATGACAAAAAGTCCAATAGGAGCTCAGGATTCTCTGTCACTATGGAAACCAGTCATCACAGCCTCCAACACCATGGTAACAGGCAGCTCTCAGTCTGACAATAAGACTGTTTTAGAATTTTTAAAAGCTTTTTTAAAGCTTTCTGTTGCGATTTCTATTTTGTTGGATTCTCTTTTGGGTATGCTGGGACTACAAAATGCCTAACAGGCCTATTACCTCTGCTAGCTACAAATTTAGTCCAGACTCAGTCAGAGAGAACCACAATCATGATGCTTGCAGAACCCATGCAGACTGAGTAGAGAAGAACCTATAGTGAGATGTTCTTACACTTCTTGGATGAGTTTGCGTTTCTTCATCTCTTGCTTGACCTTGTTGTCGACACCTTCACCTTGGTTGGCCTGGATGTCTTGAACAGTTCTCTGTACGTCGTCCTCAATAGCGCTCACCTGGAAAACAAAATAAGACTCCAGATTAACTAGGAAACCAAGGATTTTCTTCCACCATTGGTGCCAAAATTTTAGCATTTTTGGTGATGACACTTACATGTATATCTCTTTCCACAGTTACCTTCCCAGAAGGAAAACATATTGTGTTTGCTCTGCTTCTTCTTCTTCTCCAAACAAAAAAAGGTCAACGACCTGGACCAGACGTCTGTCACCATGGAAACTGATGCTGTAGCAGACACCCTGTGGTGTTGGATTACATTATGTAGCAAGTGGCAGGACTGAGCTGGAGGGGCTGGTCACCATATAAAGGAATGTGTTAGAGTGAGAATAAACAGAGATGTTAGGTTCCTTGAGCTAGAGCATCTTTACATGAAGGTAAACATTAAGCATTTGCTCAATCCAAGTGTTTCTCGTTTTTATTTGTTTCCGTACATGAGACCTTTAACTTACCGCCTGTTTCACCACGGGTCCGTTGGCTCCCTTCTTGTCCATCTGGATCCATTTCTTCTTCATGGCGTTACTGAAGCCGACCTTGGCATTGGGAACGCTCTCCTGTAAACCAGAGTAAAGACATGTTTAAAGACATAGTTGGGAAGAAATCATCATGAGAGTGGTTGGAAAGAGCTATGTTAAATGCTTATTGCTTTATCGAGATTTCTGTATCTGTATCAATATAACCAGTATAACCGCCCTTCGGCGTAACACACCAGCTTCGCAGGCACGCGGTGTGGCGGCAGCTAGCTATATCACACCGAAGGACTAGTTAAACTCTATCTTTGCACATTTAATTGTAGGAGTTGTTTAAACGCCACCTGGGCATATGATGATATATGTTAATACATATATATATTGAGGTGAAAACACTTAAGAATCATAAATATATAAAGTTATGGATACCATGAGTTGCTTTTGCAGGATGCCCTCTGGTGGAATAGCGTGGTACAGCAGGGCCTCGTGGCTGCCGTTTTCTGCAACCTGCCGACCTTCTCCCGTCAACTCCCACCATTTTGACACTCGCTGTTCTGCTGTGATCACCTGAATGGGAAAGGCAGATTCGCTTTAGGATATTGGGGTTTGCTACTGAATCGCTAGTACGTTGGCAGAACGTACTGCCCCTGTGCGAACCCTTTTAATGTATTGTGCATTGCACTTTGGCAGAGCGTCTCATATAAGATCGTATTCACGCATGTAAGGGTACTTTGTCTGTTGTCTGTTTCCAAATGTTATGTCAGAAAAGATATCCTTTGCAACAAGCAAAATTCTGACGCAATGGTGACCAAACATCCAAGAAAAACCAGTGGGTTTCGCGTAGGTGCAGTATGTTCTGCCGACCTTCTCCTGTCAACCCCCACCATTTGGACACTCGCTGCTCAGCTGTGATCACCTGAATGGGAAAGTCAAGTAGGATGTTGGGATTTCTTGCACACAACCAGTACTTCTCTCAGCTTGCTTATGTTATGTTTTGATACATGTTGCCAATGTCGTTGTGCTTTTTTGGCAAGAACACAAGTTTGTATCTTTGCAAAATTACGAGTCTCCGCCTAGGTACAAGTAAGTAAAGTCGACCCTCTATGGCCGGCTAACTCCCCATGGCCAGCTACATTCTTTTTAGGCTGATTGCTACTATTTATTCAGCCTGTACATCAATTGAATTTAAAGCTCCTTGATCATACTTTTATAACTATTTATTTTATAACTGTTGTTACATCATGTTTAAATATAGTAACAGTCAATGCAGAAAATGAAAAAAAAAAATTATGCACTTACGACTACATGTGTGTATAAAGCCAGAGTAGGCTTAGGTGCAGGTAGGCCATAATTAAATACCTACACAGCCCCTTATTTACTTACAGTATTTTTGTCTGTATCTATAATTTTTTTGCCCCCCTCCCCATGGCACTAGCCGGAACATATGCAAACCGCAGGAACTATATTTTCATATCCTTACATCTCCAAGCGACTGTAGACTTTTAACAGCTCCTACGATAAGCTGGTGGTCTTTCCCGAGTTGTGCGGCGATATCCTTGGTGTCTATCCCGTCTTTGTCCTGCAAAAGTTGTAGGATAGTCGCATCCACGCCTTCGGCTGCCATGATGAAACTCTAGGTGTACGTCACTACTCTCGTACTCAGGGCTTCGGGACACAGTACCCTGGGTACGTCGGTAAAGCGCCCTCTAGCGTGTGTGTGCAGGCGTGCATCTTTCATAGTACATGTATTGAAATATTGATAGGAAATTTTATAGAGAAAAACTAAAGTAAATTATTACTCAAGAAACTGAATTATATAGAGAAAACCTGTAGTAAATTGTTACTCAAGGAACTGAATAGGTTTTGAAAACTGTCA